GAACTATGTCCCACCCACCCCAATTTGAACCCCTAAAAACAAGTTTGACAGCATGATACTATGGTAAACTTAGATTTATTTGCCCCCCCGGGTGCGAGTTGTATGTTGTTTTTTATTCATAATTTTCTTTTTTGCAAAATTTATGGATTTTTGAGGCTTTTTATCCAGGTACACATCCAAAGAGGTTGACATGTATGGGACAACAAAACACAGACTTGTTGTAATTGAGTTTGTCAACACGAACCGCTACCTGAGGGGCACTACTAGCCCCTCCCTCGTCAGAGTGTCGGAGCAGGACGAGTCAGTGCAACGTCAATCAAATGAGAGAGAGGGTGGGGCGATTGCTGCATGGGGGTGAGAAAATGTTTTATGGGTAGAGTAGTTTATTTTTCCTGTAATACTTCATTATAGTTTTTTAAGACAAAGCTAATTGAAAGCGGCGCTGAGCAGAGTTACAACCAGGGATTACAAATAATTACTTTTTTTTCTTCTGCAGTTCGGTGCCCCCTCCAGCAGATGGCTCTCTAGGTGACCGCCTAGTTCGCCTATGCCAAGAGCCGGCTCTGAGTAGGAGAGCAAAAGCTTGATAAACAGACTGGGACTCTCCAACATCACTTCACGTCTTGAAAACTCTACTGAGACGCAGAGACTCGTTTCAAAATATTAACTATGAAATAAACACAGATCTATGTTCTACCAAACATTTAAGTCCCTCTGTGTTTACAGTAAATATGGTAATAAACTTGTGCGCAAAGTTAATATTTTTAGACTCAGAATGGATGGATCTGTTGCGCAATACAGCAGCGCGCGCGCACGCACACACACACACACCAACACACAATCACTCGTTCTTTGTGTGATAAACATATTTTATTCCTATTTTTACTTTGGATTCTTTTTCTCACTCACATTATATTAAATAAATTATTTTTATGACTTTAGAAATCATTTCTGATGGCACAGGGCTCACTCAAACATGTCCTTCACACATGCAGGAAGTAATTAGCATCTGTTTAACATATGTTAATGAAGGCGTGTCAGGGGTGGTGTCTTACCTGCGCTCAGTTCCACGTTAATTGTGATGTACAAAAGAAATGTGCGTGGATTCAGGCGTACGCACAGTTTGATACATCTGGATGTTTTTGTGCATACGCAGTTTTTCTGGATTTGACCAAACGCCACGTTTCCGTAAGAAATTCACACAAGTCTTTGTACCTGAGGCCCCTGATGATGAATAAAGGTGTTGAAGTTTAAAGTCTTTAGGCAAGTATAAGCCTTGGCTTCAGCCTACTCCTTTTTGGTAAATTATTGATTTGTGTTTGTGAAATAATGTTTCATTTTGTTTTATTTTCCTTGTAATGTAGAATTACCAAAATAAATTAAATCTAAAGCAGTTTTAGGTTATAAAGTCATATAAAAGCTTTGAGCATCTCACAGCTCTGTTCAATCCATCAATGGAAAGAGGATGGCTCAACTGCAAACCCAAGACATGACGGACCACCCAAACTGACTGAGGAGCTCCATGGTAAGTCTGGAGGGGCTGCAGGAATCCACAGCTCAGGTGGGACAGTCCTGCTCTACACTCAGCTGAGCTTTATGGAAGTGTGGCGAGAGGAAAGTCACTTTATACGGACTAATTACATTTACTTCGTTACAGTACTTAAGTAAGTTTTGTAATTTTACCAACTACTTTTTAAACTTTTATTTCATTACATTTTAAAGCTAAAAATGAGACTTTTACTTCTTTACTTTAAAATTAAAAAATGTTTTTGTTTGTTCATTTATTTTTATTTTTTGCATATAACTATTTTCCAGCCAGTTCTGTGAAATATGATCTTTAGTCATCCATCCATCCATCCATCCATCCATCCATCCATCCATCCATCCATCCATCCATCTGCTGAGAAGCCTGCCACGTCTCCTTTCCAGAGAAAACCCACATATGCACAGAAAGAACAGAGTCCATGTAAACTCCTGCTGTGAAGCAACAGCTCTAAACTTTTTCTGCTCTACTATTTTCCTACATGCTTTTCATAATCTGTATTTAAAAAACACAATTTTTTAATGTATTTGAACATTTTGATTTGAGTTCT